CTTATTTAGCACATACTTACAACTTCTCGTCCAATCAAATTGCTTATATTTGCCTTCTAATTTTCATAGTACATACTTTTCCTGTGTACTAAGTAACTACGCATGAATGACCACAAGGGTAAGATTTCATTGTATCGTAATCAAGATATTTAAAACAAAAATTGCCACTGGCTATTTTGAAATAAAATGCTGTGTTCCAAATTAAATTAAATAGTTTGTAATTAGTTTTCACGTTGAATTTTAAATATTCTGCTATTAAAATCTTTGGATCTAAAAATTGTTTTTGACAATTGCAAATTTTATTATTTAGATAAAGGGTAATACATATGGTTCTTTATACCTTGATTAGAGTACAACGATATCTTAAAATTATGATAATGTATCATCCATGCAATTACTTTGTACACAGAAAAGTGTGTACTATGAAACCTTGTGCAGGAAAATTAAAGCAACTTGGTGATAATTTTTTAAACTTTCTTAAGGAAGGTGATCTATTTCGTCATGAATTGATTGATTTGATGATTATTGGTTGCTTAATGTCCAGTGGCAAAATTTCATGCATGTTCAGGACGATGTCATGAATTGAAAAACTGTGATTATGTCTGAAGATAATGTGCAACCTATATATACATATAAACATATTCTGATAAATCTTTTAGTTTTTACTTTGAAATAATAAAAAAAAACACAAAACACAAAACCTATAATCTCTGATCTATTGGTAGTTGCTTTTTAATGCCTATCTGCTAGACTATATCTATGGGGACAAACTATCTCTAAGTTTCAAATTTTATTATAGCTTTAGTTTTACTGTGAAATTAAAAAATGTTTTCAAAACATGTAAAGCTTCCACTGCAATTTAATTATTGCCTGCTTTTGGTCAATTTATTTTGTCATCTAACCATGTAAGAAGAAATGTATAGTAAAACACCGCTTTATATCAGTATACATACTTACACCAGTCGCTACCATCTTTTCATTCTGGAGTGAAGGGCCTTTTAAAATCACATATTTTACAATAATACTAGTGAGTAGATTTACAAAACTTCGTTAATGAGCTCCTTTTTACAAACACCTGTGATACAAGTAGTCAGCCAAAATAAACTATCAATAGACCAATTAAAAGATTACTCGAGTTGTAAATATGTGCTAAATTGGATAGTCTATGAAAAGGTATATACTATGAAATTAAGAGCTCGGGGCAAGCCCCTCGCTCTAAATTTCATAGTATATACCTTTCCATAGACTAACCTAGACCAATTAGTGTCAAATTATATAAGAGTTGCAAATCACTTATGATAATTTTATAATCTAATTAGTACATCAAAGGTCCGGTAAATTTCGTAACTAATCAACCGTAACATTTACAAGAAGTTTGTACACCTGTTACAACTTCATCCAAGTATGGAGTATACATTTCTCAACTCATACGATATTCAAGAGCTTGCGGCTGCTACTCAGACTTTGTAAAATGTCATCGAAGTCTGGGCAAAAAATTAATGTCTGATTATTATGAGCCATGGTTTTTTGAAAACACGTCTTGTCCTTTTTCTCAAAAAGTTCATCGCAAAGCACAAAGACCTAGAAATATACATTGGCTATTTCACAAATAATACTGAATTATAGATTCTAGGTGCTGAAGTTGTGCTTAACAGTTTTCACTGTATTTGTATTCGTCCTATTATGGCCGTATGACTTTTGACGTGACATTGTATTTATGCATCCCGCTTTTTTTACTTTGGGCGTTCCTTGTGCAGGTGGGTTCTGAGGTGAGATTCAGATGCAAGAGGTTTTTACAGTGTTGCTTCCCTTGTATTTATATTTTACTTAATGTATACTTATCGAAAAATTATGTACTATATATGATATGTACTATCAAATAATTTTTTTTATCGGAGTCTTTGGTCAATTCTGTGCTATCAACTACAAACACTTTTTTTGACGTTATTGTCAAATTTACCCTATCAACTACAACTTTTTTGTTGGCGTCTTTGTAAGATTTATTTGTATTTTTGTTTGAATTTTTTAGTCATTTGTATTGTTTGTCTGTGATGTATGTTTACACAGTTTTGGCTGCTGGATACCAATTATTGTCACATTAACCTTCTATGTATGTTTAGGTTGCTCACCCAATTTTGTCAATATAACGGAACTATAAACAACTGATATGCAAGTGGGAGGTTCAGCTAGCTATAAAACCAGGTTTAACCCTCCATATTCTTCGGAAAATGCCTGTACCAAGTCAAGAACATTACAGTTGTTTTCCACTCGTTCCATTGGTTTATAACGTCTGATTTCGTCAGTTTTTGTGGACTTCCCCTTTTTGAATTTGCCTTGAAGTTCGGTATTTTTGTTATACTTTTTTCTTTTTATCTATGAGAGAAATGGAAATAATACGTTTTTTATGAGGAAATCCAATATCAAAGAAACCACTAGTTTGAAAGTCGTCATATCCTAAAGATGTCTAACTTTTTTAGTTGTGGCATTTTAAAATCATGATCCTATGATAGCAAGAACGTTCTCACCCAACATATGAAAAACTGAATACTTTTTGAAATCATCCAATAGAAAGACACTATGTCTTTTGTAAAACCTAGCAGAATGTGCCTAATACCTTTCCGGAGCACCTGAGATCGTTTTTAACCATTGCGTTGTCAGTTTGTCTTCGACTAATGAGTTTGAATATTTTTTGTATCTTTCGTCTTTCTTTTTCTCTAACATTGTGTAAAGCTTTCATGATGATTCGTGAACGTATATTCGAGTCATCATGAGATAAACTAGTATGAAACATTACCTAGTTTATGACATTATAATTAAAACTCACCAGGATTAGAACTTTGTACGCCAGACGCGCGTTTCGTCTGTAAAAGATTCATCAGTGACGCTCGAATCAAAAAAGTTAAGAAGGGAAAAGAAACGACGAGATTGAAGAGCATCGAGGAACTGAATTTCAGACAGGTTTTATACGACTTATTCGAAAATCATTGATGATGATTCATTATTAGTGTTTAACGCCACTATCAGCACTCTCGGCGCCCAGTTATTGTTGGCGGAGGAAGCCGGAGACAACCACCGACCATCAGCAGAAAAACTCGCCTTCCTAGTTCCTAATTTGATAGAGATTCGTGAAAGCATATTAGATCTCTCAAAACATGTTTAACCCCGCCGCATTTTTGCGCCTGTCCCAAGTCAGGAGCCTCTGGCCTTTGTTAGTCTTGTATTTTTTTTTAAATTTTAGTTCATTAATATGTTTCGGAGTTTAGTGTGACGTCCATTTTCACTGATCTAGTACACATTTTTGTTTAGGGGCCAGCTGAAGCCCGCCTCCGAGTGCGGGATTTTCTCGCTGTGTTGAAGACCCTTTGGTGGCCTTGGGCTGTGTTCTGCTCTTTGGTCGGATTGTTGTCTCTTTGACACATTCCCAATTTCCATTCTCAATTTTATTAGAGTATCATGACACATGAAATACTGCATATTTTTAACGATTTAGGTCCAATTAACACTCCGAAGCAGTTAATATGAAATTTATCAAATCGATAGGAAGCCAGGTTTCCGGAAATAACATGATTGTATTTAATGTTGGATAAGCATTGGTAAAAACTAGATAAACATTTTCAATATATGTTTAATATAGTAAGCTATTTTGAGGGAGTATTTTCGTGTGTAAACCTGGCCGTCTTGCATAAGGGCAGATGGACTATATGTATTTTAAGTTTGTGAGTAATTTAAAGGTCAATATTTTACATCAATAAACTCCGGAAATATAACATTTTTACTTATTATTCCAAAATTTCTATAAAGTTTATCAGTTCATGGCCGAATTTTCACATCAATTAACTTCACAAATATAACCGCCTTAACTAAGAATACTAATTAAGTGATCTAGAATTATGTCCAGATAAACATTTCAACTAACTTACAGAACCATTTTGTCTGTGTAGGAATTTATATACGTGACGTCATGAAATAAATCTAGTGGTTACAAAACAATTGCATGTGTATGTCGACTCTGATTATAAACTCTGACTGAACTAGTTGTAGGTGATAGAACATTATTGCTGGTCTTTAGTTAGATCTATATGGATGAAAATATATCGAAAATGAAAATAACACGCGTCCGAAACACTTGTTTGGATTTACCTTTATCAGGAACGTTCATAGCCAAACCCATGAAAACCAAAGATGTACAAGTACACAAAATTTACCAAAACAGGTGAATACTATATGACCAAAAGAGATCTAAAAATAAATATGTCAACATACTACTGTAACGATGTATCTAAAATCTATACCTACATGTATATTTTAAAGCAGGAGTAAAATAGAACCATATTTGAGACAAGAGGGTATAGATGGTGGTCCTTTATTTCTGTATTCTTGCCCGTTAATTGTTCTCTCTTCTTTATATTTTGGCACGTACCCCATTATTATCTTTTTTTTTCATTTTTTGGTCTATTTTTCTTCATTATTTACTTTTGGCTCATTTTTCTGTAGTATTGGTCTATTGTTCTCTATTTTGTAAACCCATCCAGATCCTCATGATATATTAACAACTTTTGGGAATGCGACCGAGTCTACACAAGAAGCGGCTTAGCGTGAAATTATTTCACATATGCATCAATGGTATCGTAAAAAGTGTTTTTATAATGTACAAAAAACTTTGGACTTGTTATTTCCCACTTTAATTTACAACTCCATAAATACGCAAAGACCCAAGGTCTTATCTCTCAGTTCGTGACTAAGACAACATTGTTCCATAGTAACATAATAGAGGGTCTGGATGGGGTTTACAGAATAGAGAACACTGGGCCAAAAGTACAGAAAAATCGATCGAAAAAATAAAGAATACAGAAAAATAGGGTAAAAAAATAAAGAATAGAGAATAATGGGATGCTTAAATATAAAGACTAGAGAATAATGGACAAAAAATTACAGAAATGAAAGACCCCCATCCAGACCCTCATAAGAGACTTTACAATTATTCCTGGTATCTAGTAAGTCAGACGATCAGTACGTCACGATCTTCACATATAAACCTGAAGTGAATGTTATTCGTTACATTAAGTTTATGTCAAATAGAGAATTCATCATGATGTATTTCCTGGTTGTTTGTTGTCTCTTGGGACTTTCCTCTGCTGCACAGTGAGTACTCATAGGGTCATATTTGTATAGAGGGTTGCTTGCACTGATTAACTTTAAAAATGGACTCTGAATCCTAAAATGTCATTCGATAGATCCTTTACAATAAAGAGGCTACCATTTGATTTTTAGGGGGGGGGGGGGGGGGGGCTAGGATGAAATTTGAAAAAAATAGGCAGGACAGGAGTTTTGAGTGAAAAAAAAGGCAGGATGAGATTATTTGCAAAAAAAAAGGCAGGATGACAATTTATGTAAAAAAAAGTCAGGATAAACTAATAAAAAAAAAGGCAGGACCGAATAGAGTGAAAAAAAAAAGGCAGGACAAAATTTTTCAACCTAGCCCCCCAAAAAAAATCAAATGGTAGCTCCCTAAGCAATGTCTCCTCTTGAAACAATATCAATTACATACCCTACCCTTGCTGACTGTTAAGTAATTAACTTTTCAACTAATACTGGATTAAGAAAACTGTTGACTGTTTTTTGACAATTTTAAAGACTAACAGGACTGAATGGTAGATAATTTACTTTTATAGTATAACTGGACTGAATGTAAGACAGTTTAAAATGGACTGGTTGTTAAGTATTTTACTTTTAAAGTGTAACTGGACTTGCTATTAAGTATCTTAAGTGTTAACTGTACAATACTATATAATAATCGCAACAAGTTATGAAGCAAAACAAAAACAGAAAACATAAAAACAAAACAAACAAAAACAATGCACGACTTCAAAAATGCATACTTTGCACATTGATTTAGTCGGAGAGTTGATGAAACCTAATGTAACTTGAATATCTGAATATTGCATTTAAAAGAACTTTCAACATTTTTACAACTATGTAAATATTCATATATAAGTTTTTTCTGCTCCTGATACTGATATTGAAGACAGGTTTTATCTTTTCTGGTACAATAGTGCGTAGAACATCTCGAATAATTTATTCTGCTTCTGAAAGTCATTAATAGATATAATCTAAGTAGAATTTAATACTCCCATCCACTCCATATTGCAGTTGCTTTGAACTTGCATTCTTGTTAGTTTTGGTTAGAAATGTCCTTTCTATTTTTTCTTTAGATATATTTAAAAAATTCCAAACATTTATCTGAATTGTAGTTTAACGCTAAATCAATGAAGCTAGAACACACCCGCGAAATCGCGGGCATTTAGAGCATAGTTGAAAGTATATAAACTGATGTAGGTTGAATTTTTGTAAAATATTTTATGACAGGAGAATTTCAGGAAAGGTATCATAAGTATTTGGGGACAGGACAATTTTTTTTAGCCTTCCCCTTTTTTCATAATCCATTATTTTTTTTATTTTCTATTAGTTTCAATTATTTTCGCGTTTTTGTAGGATGAATTTTTGTAAAAGATTTTATGACTGGAGAATTTCAGGAAAGGTACCAAAAGTACTTGGGGACAGGACATTATTTAGCCCTCCACCTTTTTTTTTCAAAATCCGTTATTTTTTATTTTCTATTAATTTCAATTATTTTCGCGTTTTTCCGTATACTATGAACAGACATATACTATAATCTCTATATAATATATGACCGCTGTTGATAGTAAATTTGGAATTGATAATAACTAGCAAATACAATGTACACTTTATTTATAGTATATGTATGTTAGTATACAGAAAAAACGAAAATAATTGTCCTGTCCCCAAAGCACCTATAAAAATTATGTGTAATTTTGAACAGTCCTAAATGGAAGTCTTGTCTATGACTTAAAAGTCCGTCCGATGACGGAAACAATATCCGGACGCCTTTATTTTCGTTTTCCTCCCAAAATAACCCAAACGGAATAATCATAAGCGAGGATGACAAATGCGACTATGCATGGTACCTATAGGACACAAAGGCATGATGATTAATTTATTGTGGAAAGAAGAGAAGCGACACACAAAATGAGGTCTTCTCATTTAATAGTATAGATGTTCAGAATATGACAAAACGTTTGGTAACCGTAGAATACAGATAAAATACTGTGATATTTTTTTATAAACCAGTCAAATACGTTTTGAAAAATTTACGTGTAGGTGAAATAGTTAATGGAAATTTGACCCTGTCTCTTTGATAAAACTTTATCTAAAAGTGTTCGAGCAGAAAGTAGGGTTCAAATGACCAGTTCATTGACTGACTGATTAATTGTTTAAGAAATATTGGCTATTTTATGGCGGTCTTTCTGGGCGAAAGGAATCCGGATAGAACCTCCGACCTCAGGCTATAAAACTGGCAATCCTAGTAACATAAGATCAAAGTAGAACGCAACTTGCCACAAGCAGAGTTCGAACTAAAAACCATAGTGTTGACAGGCTATAGTGATCACTGTAGATAGATAAACTACTTAGATCACACGGCCGCATAGGTCACTCTAAATTTTAGTATTAGTATTACAAATACAAGTAGTATTTTCAGATCACTGAAAGTATGTCTTCTGATTTAAGATTGCCAAATGTGAATCATACACAGCAAATTATTGTCGGTGTCTTTTTGAGACATCTTGTGACAAATTCATATCTTTAGACATTTGGTCATTTCACACAGGTTTGAACTGATTCTTTCGTACATATTATAGGATAAATTTTAAACCATACAATGAGACCGCCATGAGTATGTTTTTAACATCGGATACTGACCATGACAACTGCTTCGAAAGAAATGAGCTGGATCACGTGTTTGTTGTTTACGATACTGATGGTGAGTGTAAACTGATCACGTGTTTATTGTTTACGATACTGATGGTGAGTGTAAACTGATCACGTGCTTGTTGTTTACGATTCTGATGGTGAGTGTAAACTGATCACGTGTTTGTTGCTTACGATACTGATGGTGATTGAACACTGATCAAGTGTTTATTGTTTACGATACTGATGGTGAGTGTAAACTGATCACGTGTTTATTGTTTACGATACTGATGGTGAGTGTAAACTGATCACGTGCTTGTTGTTTACGATTCTGATGGTGAATGTAAACTGATCACGTGTTTGTTGTTTACGATTCTGATGGTGAGTGTTAACTGATCACGCGTTTGTTGTTTACGATACTGATGGTGAGTGTGAACTGATCACGTGTTTATTGTTTACGATACTGATGGTGAGTGTAAACTGATCAAGTGTTTGTTGTTTACGATTCTGATGGTAAGTGTAAACTGATCACGCGTTTGTTGTTTACGATACTGATGGTGAATGTTAACTGGTCACGTATTTGTTTTTTTTTATGATACTGATGGTGAGTGTCACGTGTTTGTTGTTTAAGATCCTGATGGTGAGTCTAAACTGAGGACACACTAAGAGAAACATCTTTCTAAGAATCAGATACCAATTTTAAGGTTAGGGGAGGGTTGGGCGCCCGCTAATATGTTTATCCCGCCACATTCTGTATATGCCTGTCCCAAGTCAGGAGCCTGTAATTCAGTGGTTGTCGTTTGTTGCTGTATATCATATTTGTATTTCGTTCATTGTTTGTATATATATCAGGCCGTTAGTTTTCTCGTTTGAATTTTTTTACATTTGTCATTTCGGGGGCTTTTATAGCTGACTATGCGGTATGGATTTTACTCTTTGTTAAAGGCTGTACGGTGACCTGTAGTCGTTAACTCCTATATCATTTGGTCTCTGGTGGAGAGTTGTCTCATTGGCAATTATACCACATTATCTTATTTTTATATTCAAACATGAATAAAAACATGACATGACCCAACTACCGCCATTTTCTTTCACGACCATAACAACAGCATCAATTGTCTTGTGGCAGCGAGACCGGGTTCTACCAATGACTTTAAAATTGGTTTTCCTGCTTCCCCGTTTAGCTCGCGGTTTTTAGGCGAAAAAACCGAGGACGGTTGTGTTGGTGTCAGATAAAAGTGTACGGTAAGGGCGATATATATCTTCCCGTGATATATTACCTAGGTCGCTTTGATTATAGCTAGGACGTTCACAATTCCGACTGAACGTGTCTTCTCAAGCAGGGTATAATAACATCGCAATCAATAACTGTTATATTTGTTGCTAGACGTTCATTGTGTATCCATCCTCGTCATCTTCATAATGATGGTGCATCACTATGTATTCACTGCAGTAAATACATTGTAAATTGTAAGATATAGCACAATGCGCTCTTCAACAATTAAATAATTTCAAATTACATTTAAATCGAGTAGTCTCTATCATACAGCAGTTGGTCTCCGCACACTAACAAAATGATTGATTGATTGATTGGTGTTTAACGCCACTTTCGACACTATTGTTCTATTTCGTGACGGTCAGTTTTATTGCTGGAGGAAGCCGGAGAGAACCACCGACCTTCGGTAGGAAGACTAACAATCCTAGTCAATTAAGGTTGGAGTTGAGTGCACCTGTCACATGCGGGATTCGAGCTCAGAACCTTAGTGTTGACAGGCTATTGATATAGTAGCTACACACAATAACTACTACAATGAAATTGCAACACCAACATGGGTAAACTTTTTGCAACATCTGTATATTTAACATCATCATAATAATAGTATGTCAGTATTAATACGATAGACCCTGCATTATCTTTCAAAAAATGAAAGCAACACTTTATAAAGCTCATGCATATGAAGCACTTGTCTGGATTTACCTTCACCAGGTACGTTAAAATCCGCATTTTTGAAAGCCAAGGATGTATTAGTACCGGAACAGTTGAAGAGCTATATGACCAAAAAGGACCTAAAAATAATAGCCAACTACATTTAATGTCAACTTTGCCTGATGGACTGAAACCTTAGTTTCTTAATAATTTCTAAATTTATAATTATAGACAATTTATTTAATATCAATAAACTTAGCTTGTACACTTGGTCCATTGGGTTCTTAATCGAACCACGTGAAAACAAAGATACATTTAAAATTTTGATTTCATTGTCCATCTAGAAAAAATTCCGTAAATAGATATCTGATCACACTCATAGAGACATGCTGTAAATGCACCACTATGATTGAGGGCCTGGATGGGGTTTACAGAATAGAGAATAATGGGAAAAACATAAAGAAACATTTATTTTCACTTTTGAACACAATTTGTTCCTGCATTTTGTGTTGCAGATTATTCATTTTCATCCTATCTTATGCAAGGTTAATTATTTGCAGCTCTTACCAGGCCAGGATATTAATTTTCAAAATCTTCCTGGCCCCCCAGAAAATCAACTGATCGTCCCCTTATATTATGTTGCAAATATTATAATCAAACCAACCAGCGTTTTTCGATTACAAATCTGTGCTCCAAATCAGCAGAATTTTAAATTCACAAAGTCATTCTAGTTTAAAATGCAGAATAATTGTATTTAACAAAATTATCACAATTCAACTCTTCTCAAAAAAATAATAAATCAAAATTTTTAAAGTAATTAAATTTTGACAAATTGTATATATATCACTTGTAAATCCTGAATTACATACTTTTTACAGGTAGTGGAACTGTAAGCCGACACGAGTACACTGTTCACATTACTCAGACTAATCCTGAACTTCATGATTTTGCTCACGTTTTATATAATGACTATGATTTAGATGGTGACCACCACTTAGAAAAACATGATTACGATGCTTACTTTGCAAAGCTGGATGCAGATAGTAAGTCTTTCAATAATTAAATAATTAGCCATGTGTGACGGGATTGCTTCCCTTGAATAATAGATACTTAGTCAGCCGTAAGCACTTCGTTAGCTCAGACGGTTAGAGCGCTGCCTTTTATTACAGAGGTCCCAGGTTCGAGTCCCGGAGGAGACAATGCGATTTTGTAATATGATTCATACTCTCCGGTTACACATGTAATATAAACAAAAAATATATATACTTTAGTCTGTATGGACTATTTTGTCTTCTCAAAAGTAAATCTCACAATGAACGCTTGAGACAAAAAGCTTACATGTGAAATCCAATGTATAGGACAGCCATTTTGAATATAGAACAACAAATGCAAACATTTGAAAATAACAGCGAACGTTTTGAGAGAGTTGCAACTTTATGTATATAGTTTATAGACTAATTTTTGGAAACAAATGTACCGATATAATTATGCCACTAACAAAACGAAACTGTTATGAGGTATAGCAACCGATACTAGAACAAATGACGTCATGAACTTACTTGTATATTTTCATCTTCAGGTGACGGCTGTGTTACTCCTGATGAATTCGTAAAATACTGGACTGTGGTTTGTATATTTAACCCTTCTAGAGGGGCGGTAGGAGGGGGTGGGTGTGGGGGTGAGGGCGCATTGCATTTGCGCAAATTTTTACAAAATCCAATCTTTCATTTGCGCCACAAGGTTATATTTCAATTGCGCCAAAAAATAAAAAGTACATTTGCGTCATCTTACAGGTAACATATAACGGAAAAGTGTAAAATATTCATTGCTACATCGTGAATAAGTTTTTTTTAAAGAGTATTCTCCCTGGGTAACTTAGTTAGTTCATACTCATTTCTAATATAAAACTGAGAGTCACTTAGGTTTAAAACTCTACAGTGTTCACATGTTTGAGGTGTCAAGATGGACATTGTCAATTCTGAGACAATTAGGCCGTTAGTTTTCTCAATTGGATTGTTTCATATTTTTCATGTCGGGGCTGTTTGGTGGATAGTTGTCTCATTGGCAATCATGCCACATCTCCTTATTTTTATATAGAGGAAATAAGTTTATTTTTTATGACCACACATATAGGTTATCCAGTGTACATGAGAACATCCGAGCCGTTTCTTACAAGTCTTGTGTCAGAACAAACATTTGGTTTTACTCCAGTGTATAGTGCTTTCTTTTAGGTTTTATGATCTCGTTAATTTATAACATAACTGTGTTTTAACATTATCATGAAAAGTCTCTTATTAGGAACGTACCAGTGTATAGTGCTTTCATTATGGTTACGGTGACTTATTTCGGAGGAAAATGTGTATTAAAGTTATTATCAAAAGTCTCTTTCGAATAAAACTATTTTTTTTATACTATTTACCTGTATTTACCTGTATTATTGGCGCAAATAAAATGTTTTATTTTGGCGCAAATGAAATATGGTTTGTGGCGCAAATGAAATGCCAACTGGCGCAAAAGCAAAGCACCGAGGAAGGGCGGTCATTCCGAATTTTCGAAAAAAAAAGCATTCTTTCCCGGATCCCGAAAAAATAATCATTTATTTCCGAGTCCCGATCGATCTAAATACCGAATTCCCGTGAAATAAAGACACAATCACAACGTCCTGAAAAAGTTCCTTCCGCCCCTCCTTCACTCAGTGTGTTTACAATAAGTCAAATCTATATAAAATGAACACCAAATAAATTATATGTGTCTGAAGCACTTCTTTAGCGATACCATCATCAGGAATGCTCTAAACCAAAGATGCATAAGTCCCGAAACATTCGAAGAGCTATATGACCAACAGGGTCCTGAAAATAATAGCCAAATCTATCATTAAAGCAGGATTAATTATGATTTTTGAATTTTTTTTTTGGTCCTGATGAAATTATTATTAAACAGTTAAGATGTATTTTAAAAGACTAAATACAGTGCAAATCTTGATTAATGGATGTGTTCTTCTGATAACTAAACATGTGAGCAAACACGGCTAATGCATATACCATTTATCGTTTATCATTTGTACTGGTTACTTTCACTAATAAATTAAAAAAAAAGGTGCAACATGGGATCTGCTTACCCTTCCGGAGCACCTGACATCACCCCCAGTTTTTGGTGGGTTTCGTGTTGCTCAGTCTTTAGTTTTCTATGTTGTTTTGTGTACTGTTGTTTGTTTGTTTGTCTTTTTCTTTTTTATCTATGGCGTTGTCAGATTATTTTCGACTTATGATCAGTTTGAATGTCCCTTCGGTATCTTTCGCCACTCTTTTTTCAAATTCCTTGATTCCGGTAAACGCTTTATCGTGCTTATAACTTAACCAATGCGTAAATTCATCACTGGGAACGTCCGTTGCTGCCGATCCTCCCCCGCTGACGACTCGCGACCTGAATGTTTTGCCCCTATAGGTAAAGGTGCACACTTTCACATTCTTGGAATCGTCACTGAGAGGAGTCAGGCCTTGTTGTTGATTTGTATGTGATTTAATTCATTGCAAAGAAATGGAATTATTTTGACCCAAATTGCAATTATCAACCATTGGGTTGTAAGATCAGGTCCAGGTATCATTATGAGCTCTTAGATATCCAATGAAAATATTTCAGAAATTATCAAAATTCAATTTAACTTTGAATGGTCTATATTTAGATATTTCAAATAATATTGTTTAGTGACTAATTATTAAATTTGATATTTATTACTGGTTTCGAATTCTCAAATCATGGTTCTTTAAATAAGTTTCTTTCCAATCCTAGAGGACTAACTTGGTATCCTGAATTAAAAGAAAAGATTGTTCAATAAGTGTGCAAATGATGGAGTTTTCATGTGTTTATTATTTTTCCTATTTTAGATTTTCATTGACAACGAACATCTGTATTGTTATTGAAAAGGTGGTGTTGCAACGGCGTAATGTTAATGTGTTTATTTTTTTTTCTATTTCAGATATTTGTTGCCAACGAACATTTGCATGGTCATGGAGGTGGACATGGAAAATAATTTAAAATCAACAAATAATAATAAAATGATAAAAAAAGACAGGTTGTTCTGTTTAACGAATCAAAACATACAAACTATGCAGCTTTTCTCCATAAACTTAATCAACACTACAATAATCAAAAGCTTAGAAATATATAGATGTAAACCTACACAAAGATTAGAGTAGACATATATATATATATAGTCAAAAGGAACATGGAACAAAAAAGAATACCGTAAAAATACTCAAAGATTAGACATACTAGTATACATTGTATACCAGAAATTAATATTGAAAAAAGTTACATGTAGCTTAATCTGCTCAAAATCTACTTTGCCTAGAGAAATTAGATCTATCCCGAGCAGCGTAATAGCAAATGATGCAGTAAATATGCTTATGCAATCAATCCGCGAACTAGTTGACTCAATTGACTAAATAAATCAAAGTTTGGTTACAATGTTGGTCGCATTACTTCAATTGAATTTGAAATAAAGTATAACACCTTAGGTTGACAGATATGTTTACTGAAACCTATAAATCGACTATAGATTTGTTGAGAATTACAGTACACTTACAGTAGACAAGAGACATGATTTTGATTTCCCAAATGTGAACTTTCTTTCTGTATTATACTGCATTGTTCCTGAAGGACCTGATTATTTAGAATACATAAAATTGAGAATGGAAATGGGGAATGTGTCAAAGAGACAACAACCCGACCAAAGAGCAGAAAACAGCCCAAGGCAAGTATGCAAGTACATGTATTAGCATATATAACATATCTTAGTTGATATTCCAGAGAGCTCGTGTTTTCAATATTAGATTTTAACAGCCAACTATCATGATATTTCATCTACTTTAAAGCTTTAGTGCAGAGGCGGATTTAGGATTGTCCGGGCCCCTCTTATGGAGCTTCATTTATGGTTAATCCAGACTTTTTAACGGTTCCACTACAAGTTTTGTCTAGTGTGGGGGCATACGCCGTCCGCCCCTTTTCAAAATCCTGCACCAGCATCTGTTGTTCGCTTGGCAAATGCTATAATTTAATAATATCAAGCGTTCTGTATAGCCCGATTTCAGCATATATGCTTGAGTGTGCACACAGAACAAATGAGGTCATATTTGCTTGTTTACATTGTTGACCCTAAACTCAACATTAACTTTTATGTTCTGCTTGTTGAAAGAGTTATCACTAGCCAATAAAATCAACGGACAAGAAACATTCAAGGTATAGATCCACTAATTCAGTCCGGTCAGAAAGGAGGTAGTACATATTTTAAATAAAATAGTTCCTACGCATAGCTGTAACTTTGTCACTAAGTAAAATATTTCGGAAAATTTTGTATCAAATGAAAGCTTAAGGTCTTGGGATTACAGTCGATCCCTTGTTAACAGTTTCTTTTGAATAACAAAATAATATATGAAATTTAGATAGGAGGCAAAAATTTCCCTCTTGCTCAGATTAGAGGTACTCGTTTTTCTACTACCTAACTTCCGGGAACCAATGTGCTCTAATATGCAATTAAAGGTATGTTGATTTTTTTCAGTACAAGCAATGGGGCTATGAATTAGTGGTGTTATTTCTGAAAGGATTTCGTTAAAAAATGTTTATTTTTGTATGTTCCAAACCTTAGAAAGAATTCAGGGTTCACCTAACAAAGAAACATGACATTGGTGTGTCATACATCCACATTTATATTTTAAAATTTTGTCTGACATAATTACATCCGGGCTTCAAACTTCTTGCATTTATTGCAATACTGCTACACTTACTCTTTTTAAGATCTTGGCTGTCATTAATATTTAAATATGAGCCAAGACGTAATCCAAAAAGACATTTTGCTACAAGATATATTATACAGATATTAATGTGTGTAGAATATCTTTTTGGGCAAGACATTGTGTTCATATCTATTCTGTCAAAAAATGCATGTGTAAATGGGCCGTTTTAGGTCAAACATCTCAATTTGGACATGTTCGTGACATCACAGCGACATTACAAGTGACCTTGTCATTACAAGTGACCTAGACATTACAAGTGACCTTGTTGCACTACACTAGTTGAATAGGTTCACATTTCCCCTGACGTATCAGTGGTATATATTGAGATTTGGATTGTTTTTTTTTTAGATCGTCCCTAAACAATTGGCGATGATTCGTTGTCCTTAACTTTGGAGCGTGAGGACTGTAACTTGCCTATCCTTTTCACGAAAACCCGGTTTCTATTTCAAATTTTCAGATTCGGTCCAGTTTTAGGGTTAGAAAATTTACATGACCGATGGTTTAATCTGGCGATGTCTTAGGGTTAGATAAGAGTCAATAAACAATCCGCTATTGTGTGAAGGCTAATCACTTGCTATAACTTATTGGCGTATTGTATAGGGGTAACACGACGGATGTCGCATGTGGAGCAGGATCTGGTTACCCTACCAGAGCACCTGAGATCACCCCCGGTTTTGGTGGGGTTCGCGTTGGTCAGTCTACTTTTCTATGTTGCGTTTTGTATACTGTTGTTTGTCTTTTTGTGCGTTTTTTTTTCTTCATTTTTTGCCATGGCGTTGTCAGTTTGTTTTCGACTTACGAGTTTGAAGTCCCTTTGATGTCTTCCGCCTATTTTTTACTCTATGCGTAAATATACAAATAAAAGTTCTTTACCCTTTTGAAGATGAAAAGAACTTCATTATTTGTTCCAACTATTATTTAACTAGTTGGTGATGCCCACAATTGGCAGATGCTCTGTCGATCGGATGAGATACTTTATATCGAATTCGGTCAAGCGAACATCATTCAATAACGAACACAAGAAACTCATGAATTTAAATACACCTGATCGTCGAAATTAACTACCGATGGAACATTCACACACATTGATTGATTGGTATTTGCTTAACGCACAGTGCATTGTGTTATTAGGCCACACCAATTTGATGTCTAGTTCTTCGGACAAAAGCTCCAAAATATATGAGGCGAGCGAGCGAAATTTTTTTGTTTTTATTTTTTTCTTGAAAATGAGTTTGAGTGCTCTACAAGTGAAGCGAGCGGTATAATTTCCGTTTTAATTGTGCAATTTAGGAGTTGTACAATGTATATCCATGTACATGTAATAACTGGGTTACGTCATAGAAAACAAGGGGCAACAGATGCTCTTATTCATATAATCTGATTTATTGGTGCCTGTACCATACCAGACTTTATCGTCTCACTGTGGTCTAGATAATTTTGGTTATTTTCTTCAAGTAAGCGTTGTCTCCGTGAATTTTCATTTAAATCCATATATATATATTTAGGAAACACAGCAGATGCATTTTTACAAGAGAAATTATGTTAGATAGGTAAATGACACATTTTGAATAAAATTCAAATATTTGTTTGTATTAAAAAAAAATGCCCCTGAAAGATATTTGATAGAAGTTGTTTTCATTATATGGTAATGATTGTGTATTGGCTGCTTGACATCCAGTTGGAACTATTTATCCATATTTAGAATCATAATAGTGAGTGAGGTGAATATTTCTTGCTTTGTACTAAAACAACATCCTGGGTAAGATAGTCATATTGCTATACATGTAGATCCCAATGTATTTAAATATTCCCTTGAAATACCTGTCACCCCATTCACATGCATTATTCTGACTGAGCAAAATACTCTTCCTTTTGCTCCTAAAAGCTGCAATGCATTTAAAACTCTTTAGCTTGACAAGAAGTGGTTGAACCAATTACACACCCCTTATTATTATGAGCAAGCCAATCACAATACCATCACCTTGGTCTCTTTGGAACTCTTAATTCCCCCTTACAAAAGAAGAGTTCTCCTTGCATGCCAAAAAGACCAACAAGGGGATATGGGGTTTCATCAAAATCAAATACTTCAGATCTGTAATTGTTTAAAAAGTTCATGGGAATTTACAATTCATTTCATCCAAGATAGAATGTCTATGCCGGTTGAAACAAAATGTGTTTGTGGTCATCTAACGAAAGAATTTTAACGTTTGCATCCTAGAATAAGTCTTCAAAGGTAAAAGAGAAGCATTTCGGATAACTGTGTGTTTAATAACTACTTGTCCACGGTAATGAGCTGACACAACTGCATGTTGGCATCCAGATTTTTGACCTTTTATCTACAAATTGTTTTATCTTACGTGCGTTTGACACGACAGGAGCATTATATGCAACAGAAAAGCGTCTACGTAAAAAGAAATTCAAGGAGAAACTAATTTTGGAGCAGGATGCGGGCCGAAAATTTGCGGAAGCGGTAATTATTTTTTTTGTATTGGAAAGTCAATTTCTCCAAAACAGTAGCAGGAAAATCCAAAAACTATTTTCAGAAGTATTTTTAAACGCGGTTTAAATAAGTCTTCCTTGTATTTTTAGAACTGATCTAATGTCTGTATAAAAACGAATTTGATTGAATTGAGTACTTGTTCTAAAATATCGTTTAATAATGATGTACCTTGATTCCCTTTTATTTCCAAATCATAAAGCAAAGAACTAAGAATATTACGGTAAAAAATACTGATAAAAACATGAATATTCCTGTAGTGTTATAGCGCGGAAGATCTTCCTTAACATCTACGTCATAAAGTAGTGCCGTACATGATGTTGAATTGCATATTAACAACTGATTATTCAAATATGAAATAGCCTTTGGCAAATGAAGTCCATCTTGTTCACAAAGTAGAACTTTACTGTTTTTACCGTCAGGGGAAATAACTGCAACGGTAAGCGATGTCTCGTACACAACAAAAAGGAACCCGTGTTTGTCTACTCTTATTTGTCGTGGTCCTTTCAGGCGTTGATGTTGAAATGTCCAAGAAACATATCCATTGGCATCAGAACAGTATACCTTATTGTCATCAGGAAGAATGGTAAAATACAACTTGTCACCATGGAGATACGCATTCGTAACACCTTGGGTATGATTGTCGATTGATCTAATAGAGTTACCTTCTACGTCCAAAATTCGTATTCCTTTTCCGTTTTCCAACGTTACAACTAACATACCGTTAATATGACTAATACCGTAACATTTCCAACCGAGATCAATCCATCGTTCTGTAAGGTCAGTTTCTAAATTTATAATGATTATTTCACTATCTTGTGTCACTGTTATTTTGTTCTCGTTGATATAAGCGACGTCATACGGTTTACTTAGCAAATCAATTGTTCTATTTAACGAGCCATCGTTTTCATGAAGTACCAAACAGTCATACTTATTATCTACAAAAACCATCTGACCGGTTGGGGATATATCGCATCCCGTTATGTCGCCTGCATTCACTTTAAAAATTATTCGCCCTCTCAAATTAATATTCTTTACATTTCCATCCGACTCTATTTTACTGCAATGTCCGTGGACCTCGTTTTCATATTTCTTACAACAAGGGTTTCCATGATTTGATGTGTGGAATTCCGAATTGTCGTGGTGTTTTAAACATCGGTTAATTTTTGATAACAGGAAAGCTGGCATGAACTTTATAAAAACATTTGGAACAGGTCTATGTTTCAGTTTAAGTGTGTGGTAATATGAACATTCGGAACACAAAGCTTCTACACAGTCGGGACAATAACAAGCCATTGGTTTAGACTCATGATGAAAACACTGAATGTTTGGAAATTTGTCCATGGTGGAAATCTGCAACAGAAAAGAAATATTTTAAATGAGTTCTAGAATTGAATTGTTTCTCAAATATATTTACAACTTCTTTAGACTCAATATAATTTAGAGCTTGACATATTGTATGGACCACGTGGTATAGACACTGACTTGTTAGTGAGGACCGGTTGTTGACCTCCATGTGTCCTTTTAATTTTGTATCGTTCGGTTGCTTTCTCATTGGCGTATACTATATATAAATAAGAAGATGTGGTATTAGTGCCAATGACACTACTCTCCATGCATCCAAGTCACAATTGTATAAAAAGTAAACATTTATAGGTCAAAGTACGGCCTTCAACACGGAGCCTTGGCTCACACCGAACAGCAAGCTATAAATGGCCCCAAAATTACTAGGGTAAAACAATTCAAACAGGAAAACCAACGGTCTAATCTATATAAAAAACGAGAAACGAGAAACACTTATGAACCACACCAACAAACGACAACCACTGAACAACAGGCTTCTAAGGAAAACATTTAGATTTAAATAATATTTTAAATGATTGCCAACATGGCTTTAGGAGTAAACGTTCCTGTGAAGCACAACTTGTTATCAGCATCCAGGACATAGCCAAATACTTAGCAGAAGGTAATCAAGTTGATGCAATACTTTTAGATTTTTCCAAAGCTTTTGATAAGGTCCCCCATGAAAGGTTAATAACAAAGCTTAATTATTATGGTATACGTGAAAATAACTTACTTTGGATAAAAGATTTTTTGTCAAACAGGCAACAGCAAGTCCTACTTAACGGTGTTCAATCATCCAATTTAGCTGTTGACTCTGGTGTTCCTCAGGGCACAGTATTAGGCCCAACTTTATTTTTGTTATTCATAAACGACCTACCTGAGCATGTCTCCTGTAAGGTTCGTCTTTTTGCTGACGACTGTTTACTTTATGAAACATCAAATAATATAAATGAGTCTCAAGCACTCCAAAAAAATCTATCAAGCCTTGAAAATTGGGAATCTGAATGGCAAATGAAATTTAATCCTGAAAAATGCTATGTCATAAATATTTCTAAAAAGTCGAAAACTAATTTATTTCAATACAAATTACATAACCATGTACTTGAATCTGTCAAAGACAGCAAGTATCTAGGAGTTACTATAAGCAATGATCTTGATTGGGGGCCCCATATTAATAATATAACTTCAAAGGCAAATAAAACACTAGGATTTTTACGTAGAAACATGAAAAATTGTACACGTAAGGTTAAAAACCTTACGTACACATCACTTGTGCGTCCGACCGTCGAGTACTCCTCACCAGTTTGGGATCCGTACAAACAAAGCCAAATAAACCAAATTGAGCAGATACAGCGTAAGGCAGCAAGATATGTTTTAATGACTATAATGATAGATCACCAGGTGCTGTCACTGGTATGTTAAACAAACTAAAATGGGAAAACTTGCAATCCCGTAGAACAAAAGCTAAGCTTGTCTTGATTTATAAGATTAATGGGGGGGTTGGTCGAAGTCACTAATGACGTCCTGACACAATCTGACAGGCGAACTAGAGGCCTACATAAATTTCGACATATATATACAAATAAAGACTTTTTTAAATCATCTTTTTTCCCAAGTACTATTGCTGTCTGGAACGATCTCCAAGAAACAATTTGCATGTCACCCTCCCTAGAATCCTTCAAAGGTGGTATCTCCACCTTAACATTTGGAGGTTCTAGTCTGGCTAATTAATTAGTGTATTTAAGCCACTGTACATAATGTGAATATGTTTAACATTAAGCTACAACTAATGTTATTTTAAATTGTAATTGAACTGTGGCAAATATTTTTATCTTATAACAAAATTTTCGACATCCATTTGCACGTACATAGCGCCACAGTTCCGGGATATTCCACACTCCGGCACCGGAGTCTTTCCCGTGCCAGGAAGAAGAAGAAGAAGGTGCATTAAACTGCAGCGGGTTTAACCGTTTTAACAGGAGCCAACCTTCACCCTAACCTGAAACAGTAGTGTAAAATACAACAAAAAAAGTCACACTATAAAATATCACCCATATTTTCTTCTTATTCATACTACTTTAGTTAAATTTAGAATCAAATCAGAAATGTTGCAACAGTCGAAGTCTGTCTACAATGGTCCATTTTGTGCTCTATTATAACGATGGATTATGGCCTCGTTGGCCAAATGGTCTGTGTAGTTCATCTACAGTGACCACTAGCCTATCACTGATGTTGTGAGTTCGAACCCGCTCGTGGCAGGTGCGTACTACTACGATCTTAATTGAATAGGATATTCGGTTTCTTGTCAACGGTCGGTGATTTAAAGTGTAATGTTTTATGATAGAGTTATTATTTTCAAGCCAAATTATGAAAAGGGGAACTCATTAATGTTAGAAAAAGAACGCTGAACATTTTTGATCCTACATTCCATTTGAAAAGAGATATATACTGTATGTATTGCACTCAAGAGATAAATATCAAAAAGCTGATGGAACAGATTAGGACTGTAATAGCATATAATACTTTAAATTTTGTAGTCAAATTCACATTTGTCTATAAATTTGAAATGACATTTAGAGGGTAAACACGAATACAATTCTTTTGTCTATTAATACTCAAAATCTGTTGATATTGTATTTTTTGGTCATGTTAAAACATTCATAATTTGATAACATGTTCAAAAATACGACAAAGTTTTGCTGGCAACTAGAAGTACAACATGAACATCTTTCTTAAACATATTTTTGTGCGAAGAAAATTGCCATAGTATGAAATAAGCTCAGGAGAAATTCGGTTCAACTTTCTTTACTTGTTTTAAAAATTATTGATCTCTTTGAGATGTGCGAATTTTTTTTTAATATGTGCTAATCTTTTAACTTTTTGGAATTGTCAAGGTTTCGACATTTCGAATTTTGATTGATTCATTAATTCATCGGTGTCTAACGCCACTATATTCACTGTTGGCTTTTTCGTGGCAGTCAGTTTTTATTGATGGACGAAACCGGAGTGCCCAGAGAGAACCACCGACCTTAAAACTGACAATCTCAATTTTTTAACAAAGTTTCTTTATATTTTACAGTTATCTCTCTTTATATGCGATCGTTTAGAACTCAAATTTTAAAATTTCCTCTTTTGATGTTTTTGTTTCGACGGAAGAAGTAAGTTGTTCGTTGTTGCTCAAGGTTGAAGGCCTCGCTGTGACTTCAAGATGGAAAATACAATCGTTTAGAATTCAAACTTTAAAATTTCCTCTTTTAATGTTTTTGTTGCGACGGAAGAAGTAAGTTGTCCGTTGATCCTCAATGTTGAAGGCCTCGCTGTGACTTCAAGTTGGAAAAAATTAATAAAAGTGTTTCCTTAGCGTTGATTTTGTCAAGTGTATGAGTGATTTTGTGCCATGAATTTATACTCCATGTCCCTTTCCAATTATTATAAACATGTCGAACTAATTACTTAGAACGTTTTCCCCTATCTGTAACACTATATATATATGATTTCAAACGACAAATTTAGATTCCTATGTTTACGTTGATTGATTTAACTTTACTTTCCGCTATATAGATGATGTTCTCTCACTAAATAATTCAATATTTGATGACTGTTGAATGCATCTATCCCATCGAACTTGAGATAATGGATACAACAGATACAGTAAAGTCTGCCTCATACCTTGACTTACATCTAGATATTGACAATGAGGGTCGGTTGAAAACAAAATTTTACGACAAAAAAATATGATTTCAGCTTCCCAATTGTGAACCTTCCATTTCCATATAGCAACATTCCAGCAGCGCCTGCATACGGAGTATATATCTCCCAGTGGATACGATATTCCAGGGCTTGTATTTCCTACCATGATTTCCTTGATAGAGGGTTGCGTCTCACAAGGAAGCTATTAAACCAAGAGTTCCAAGTGGTGAAGTTGAAATCATCCCTTCGTAGATTTTACGGACGCCATCACGAGTTGGTTGACCGTTATGGAGTATCCGTTTCACAGATGATAGCGGATATGTTTCAGTTGTCGTAACTACAATCCAGTCCCCTTTTCCTCGTATGTGATATACCGAATTAGCCTTATTACAGGGTTTGTACTAACATGAGCAACACGACAGTTGCCACATGTGGAGCACGATCTGCTTACCCTTCTGGAGCACCTGAGTCTAGTTTTCTATGTTGTGTTTTGTGTACTGTTGGTTGTCGGTTGGTCCTTTTTTTAGCCATGGCGTTGTCAGTTTATTTTCGACTTATGAGTTTGAATGTTCCTTTGGTATCTTTCACCTCTCTTTTTGAGATATGCAGTCCTTCAGATTTATTTCAAGGGATGTTTTTTTTCTAACTTGTATTCGTTGGTCGAATTTTCCAAAGAATAAAATAAACATCAGATTAAGTTCGACCTTTCTGTATTTATTCAATTAGGTTACATTAGTTCCTTAATAGTGGCAAAAGTTGTGAGTGCTGGTCCCGTGATCACGAAGCCATAAATAAAGTTCAACCAAACAGGGTCGTTGGAATACTTAATCTTTTTCTCGAGATTTGGTTCTAACCACCATATCGTGGTGAAATCTATCTCAAAGTCTTTGCTAGATGCATGGGGGTTTGGAAAGTGTGGAAGATAATAAATAATCTCCTTAAATTCACACCATGTACACACTTACAGATTATTAATATATACAAACATTTGTTCATCACAGGATAACCTGAGATCAGGAATGTCTTTTATTCACGGAGTTAATCCCTAAAGTTGTGTGCTGTGTACACGTTATACACCCAGAAAATAAAATATGAATAAATATATAAAATAAAGAATAAACAAACTAAATGTCTCCTTTGTACGTATCTCTTCGGCCTCTTTTTTCAAAATATGTATTTAATCAGATGCAAAATGCACCTGAATAATATGCAGTGCAACATGCAACACTCACCTGCTATATCAATAAGAAGAAAATGTTATGGTATTTAACTGCACACACCGATACAGGTAAACTGGATGGAAAGTATTCGTGCTTGAATGGTTATATATTGTATACAATTTAAAGTTATTTTTACTTTTTATAAAATATTCAAATATAAATGTAAATTGAAGAGATTTTGAATGTATTGAATGTAATTATGCTGGAATGTTTGGTGTATTGGATTATATGGACGCACGCTGATCATTTATAATCACTGATCGGCGAGTAAGGCAGTCATGTTTAACCCCGCAACATTTTGTATGTGCTTGTCCCAAGTCAGGAGTCTGTATTTCAGTGTTTGTCGTCTGTTGCTGTTTATCATAGTTTTTCGTTTATTGTTTTTTTTTACATGAATTAGACCGTTAATTTTCTGGTTTGAAATGTTTGATATTTGTCATTTCGGGGCCTCTTGTAGCTTGTTATGCGGTATGGGTTTTGCTCACAAAAACCAATATATATAAATATGTGACTCTCCATGAGATTTCCAGGCATATTGGGATACCGTGTCTAAAATTGGCTTTTTGCATATCTACCCAGGACGAACTGAAACAAAACACTCTGTCATGTTATGGAATATTTGCAGCGGTGATTTGGGCTGAAGCTTAATATATGGTAAATGCTTAAGACTTTTTAGGTGTCTTTCCTAACGTGCCTTGATTCCCCAACCATTTCAAAATCCTTTCTCCGCAACTTGAAGTAAATTACTAATCTATTTTATTAATCTACCATGCAAACCTATCTTACCGCGACTTCTTTGGACTTCTTGAATAAATAATGTGTCAATTCTTTTCTGTTTTACGTTTGTATGAATATTTTGAGGATCTGGACTCCTAATTGTACATCGTATATATTCACCTCAACCGTTTTATTTCAACTGACTGTCCCTAATATAGACAAATAAAGTCACCATAGATACCAGGATTAAAATTTGGTTCGACAGACGAGTGTTTCGTCTACAGAAGACTCATCAGTGACGCTCGAATCAAAATAGTTAAAAAAAAAGACCAAATAAAGTACGCATCTTCTTTCTTTAAATGATCAGACTGGTCCCTTTAAAGACGCTTGCATTCTTATGGAAGCTAAACTATTTTATTATTCCTGACACAGTTATGTAATAAAAAGCGTTGAAAATCATATATGATGGAAGGGGGTGTTTTAAATGGCTATGACTTTGTTATTTAAAAAGTCAGATATTTAAACAAATGAAAACCCACAACGAAGAAAGTATAGTCAAAAGGCATTCTATAAAATAATCTACTATAAAAAAAGAGTTAACTTTTTAAATTCAATACTGGTAACCCTTAAAAACTGTAAGAATATATTTAATGTGTATAATTATCTTCTTATTACAACCTCACCAGGCATTCAATATAAATGTATGTGTAGCAAATTAAGAGCCAACATTGATCATGAATGTTTGCATACAAAATATCCATTAGAAAATATGATGTACAATGCACCAATGGAAAGCATACTGAAGAAAAAAGATACTTTAGTTAGCTCGCTTGAGCTAAAAGCTTCAAATTGTATAAATTCCATATGCAATGATAAAAAACATCTAAAACATAAATTCAGTATAGAAATAAACGTGTATGTCCCCATACGAGATTTTATGTAAAGTTTATTCGTTAACGGCGTTTATCTGACAACGACGTTCTGCTTCCATAAGACTGGAAAAAATCTGCCATAATTACTGTGTTTTATTCGACTTAGATATTTAGATACATCAAAAGCCAACCATTAACGAGGCTCTTTACCTCGGACAGTCATATGAACATGTGAATGGGTTAATTTATTTGTTTAAAGATATAAACACTCCCTCTTTTTTATGTTAATCATTGGACTACCAAAGAGTATGAAAGGACGTGCAATAAAAGTAACCGGCAAATATGAATTTAAGGCCACTTACCCTCATTTTCTTCAGTTTGTATTCCAATACAGGAGGGTCTGGATGGGTTTGCAGAATAGAGAACAATGGGCCAATACTACAGAAACATCGGCCATAAAATAAAGAAAACAGAAAAATAGGTAAAAAAAAAATAAAGAATAGAGAATAATGGAGGGTCTGGATGGGGGTCCTTCACTTCTGTATTCTTTATTCTTTTAGGGCATTTTTCTCTATTCTTTATATTTGTTGCCCATTATTGTCTATTCTTTATATTTTAGCACCCCATTATTTTCTATTTTTATTTTTTTGCCCTATTTTTCTCTTTTCTTTTATATTTTTTGGTCTTTATTCTGCACGTATTGCCCATTATTCTCGATTCTGTAAATCCCATCTAGACCCTCAATAATGGGGTGCTAAAATATAAAGAATACAGAATAATAAGTAGTATTTATAAATAATAGAGAACAAATTGCTTCACAAATTAAAGAATGCAGAATTGTAGGACCCTCATAGGGGTATAGGAGATCATGCACGCGTATGATTATACTATTGAAAAATATAAAACAACACTTTATAAATGTCATGCGTTCAAAGCGATTTTTTTGATTTGCCTTCACCCGGAACGCTCAAAGCCGAACATCTGAAAGCCAAGGATGTATTAGGACCGGAACAGTAGAAGAGGTATATGACCAAAAATGACAAAAAAAAAAGCCAAATCCGTCTAAGGTCAACTTTGCCTAACGGAGTTGAAACATCTTTAAATTTATAATTGGATAATTTTAGAAAGGTTTGTTATAAATCATGTAGGTACCTGAGTACTGATTACTGAACTGATGATACCCCGGGCCCGTTGACTTATAGTCAACCAGCAGCGGTATCGACCCAGTGCTGAAAAAATAAAACAAAACTTTCAAAACCGCATGCGTACGAAGCGCTTTCTGGATTAACCTTGAGGTAAAAAAAAAATAAAACCTAGGACGATTTTTTTTAATTTGACATGAATATTATGAAAATAAGGAGATGGGGTATGATGCCTATGAGACAACATTACACCAGAGTCTAAATGACGTGATGGTAAGCATTTGTAGGTCACAGTACGACCTTCAGCAATGAGCAAAACCAATACCGTATATGTTAGCTATAAAAAGCCAAGACATGACAAAATATAAAAATATCAAACGAGAAAACCAGCTGCCTAATATGTACAAAACAATAAACGAAAAACAAATACAACTAGATTTGTAATTGCTAGCAATAACGGGTGGCACCCTCGTCCCCCCCCCCTTTTGCCAGGGAAACGACAGCCAAACAGCGCATCAAAAAATACCAAGAAACATTCTTGTAAAGTTTCATAAAGTTTGGAGCATATTGAAAATTTCGGCCAATATTGCTGTTTCCATGATAACGGCGGCCATTTTGAAAATTCCAAAGTCAAATATCAATTCATGACAAGCCAGGTAACATTTTTGTAAATTTTCATTAATTTTGGAGAATTTTCGATAAATATTGAGGTTTCCATGTTAACGGTGGCCATTTCCAAATTTCCAAAAGCAGAACACATTGGCACATATCAATACAGTTTCATTGAGTTTGATATAATATTCTTTAAGAAAATGAAGCTTTAAAGTATTTTCCCATAAGGTCAATGTTAAACTTTCGCCCTGTTTCCATGACAAACTCTCTTTTGAATAATAAAAAAAAAAAGAAATTATAAAGGAGGGCATATTTGCCCTGTTGCTAAGATTTTGCTGAGTACCTGTTTTTGTACTTCCAAATTTCCGGGAACCAGTGCGCACATATAGGTATGTTGAATTTTTCCAGAAGTAAGGATAACGTATAGTTTGACAAAAACTTACGGTCACATTATTTGAACTTATGTGAATGGTTATTATTTTTACCATACTGAGTAAAAGGGCCGGTACACTTTCCCACCCTAGCATTTTCATGAATAAAAGGGCCTGGGAAAAGCTTTCGATCCCACTAGGAGTGGATAAAAACTTTGCCGTAGGGAACTGCACACAAAGACGGAAAAGTGTGTCCATACCCATCATTGATAGGTAACTTAGACTTTGGGTGTCCAGTGAAGTCTTCAGGTGCACTTTCCCACCCAGGTGTTCATATGAGTTGAAGATTTGGATAATAGCTTTCAATCTAACCACCTGTGGTCAAGAACTTTGCCGTAGGGAAACGGGAGGATAGCCACAACCCCTGTGCTGAAAAATGAAATTTGGTATGTTGTTGTGAGCTTCCGGTGCACTTTCCCACCCGGGCATTTTTATGAATAAAAGCTTTCAAATCCACTAAAATGAAATACATATATCTATAAGTTATTTGGAAGAAATTTCCTCTATCAGATTTAGACCTTACATTATGTACATGGAGAAGTTAGTTCGTTGTAGGAAATTTCTTCTAAAAAACCAAGGAGAAATTCCATGAATGTTTTCGAAAGTAATTAATGTCTTAAAAAGTAATTTAAAAAACTAACTCAAGAGTCTATCATTAATTTATCAGTAAAATACGAAAAAGGGGGATTCAAAATTTTTCATAAGAAGCTTTTCTCGAAGTTTTTTGCAAATTCCATAAAGACTCACAAAGGGTAATTGGCGTTTAAAAACTTAAAACTTAGACTGTAGCTATATGTTAAGTTCTAGAAACAAATTTATCCGTTCATCTTGGCTGCTGGAAAAAAGTGGCTGCTATCTTGGTTGGCTGATAAAAGTGGCTGCCAGCTTGAGTCTGGTGGAATACTATAGATGATCATCCTGTCTCGTGGTATCATGTGAGTGTCAAATTCAGGATTATTTTAAGTAACAAAATATTTAAAAAGAGTGTAGCGCTGTGTCTCCATTATTACAATAAAGCGTTTTTTGGTAGTAAATATTATAAAACTACATTCATGTAAGGTTCAAGGACATCTTGTGATAATTTCGGCAAAATCTGAATTTGGAATATTCCCTATAAAACAGGTGTTATAATGTTATCATTTATTTCGACCACTAACTGAAATTAATTCCTTTTGTTTATCTTGATATATACTCGTAATCACGTCACATAAATAAAGTACTGGGAATATTACCCACTGAGTACCACATAGTTCACAGTGAAATATCAATGGCTCGGCACTGGGTGTTGT